AGGGACTGGGTGGGGAGACAGGTGGGGGCCGGCTGAGGGTGGCAAGGTGAGTTCCGTCGCTGGAAGTGGGTGGCATTGCTCATCCGGCAGCAACATCTGGCCAGTGAGCCACTGGCCTTCTTGTACCTCACTTTGCCCACCTGTCCAATGGCCCAGTCAGTGTTAGGATCTAGCTTTCGAGCAGCAGCAGGACAGCACAGGGCCAAGGTCAGGGCAGTGAAGGCCGCACATGCGTGGTGCCCTGGCAGTCTGTTAGCCGTCCTGAGCCTCGGCTCCTCACCTGTGGCATGAGGATGACATTTCCCCGCAGGTTTGTTGGGGGATTAAATGACATCATGGATATCAATCACCTATTAATTAGCACAGTGCCTGGTACATAATAGGTGCTCGGAAAATAACTTGTTATTGTCACTGAAGGGATTTATCAGCCAATGTAGCTGTCCAGGGGAGCCATATGCAGACAATCTGTCCTGTCCCAGTAAACCCCTGAGGGCAGGAGCCACACACGTCACTTGCGGGTTTTCAGCACACTTGTGTTGAGTGTTGTGGGAATGCAGCAGTGAGCAAGACAGAGGTGGCCCTCCCTTTGGGTGATACACACAGGGAGGGGGGCTGTAGGTGAGTGAGGAATAGTTACAGCATATCCAGAAGTGCAGGGGGCTGTGGGTGCCAGGGGTACCTGAGTAGCCTTGGGGATCCAGGAAGCTTCCACGTGGGGACCAGGGTGGAGAATGAGCCCCTGAATCCCACTTGAAGGCAGGAGAGCAGCCCTTTGCTGGGAATTAAAAGACAATTCGATTCTGAGTTCAGGTCTCCGAGAGCCTTGAATGCCGAACAAAGTTATTTAGACTTAATCCTGAGGGGAATGAGCCGAGCGGGGAAAGTTTACGAAGTGGGGAAGGGACTTAATCCCATTTGCATTCTAGGAAGACTCTTTTGGCTGCTTCGAGAATGGATTGGTGGCAGTGGTGGGGGTCTCACAAGTGAGACTCATCTGGTCCAGCCTTTCAGAAACTTACGTACTTGTTTATTCCTCTCTACTACCCAGCAAAAGGAGACCTTTACTGACTGTCTTATCCCAGTAAGGATTAAGGCAGCTCGTGAAAATGCGCACACCAACAGAGAACGACAGGGAGTGGAAATCTGAGGGAAGGGAAATCGAGGGCTCCCACAGTGAAGCCTGGGGTGCTCCTCGGGGGGTGGAGAGTGGTCCCAGGCCCTTGGAAGGCATTGGCTGGGTCCCTCGCCGCCTTCCATTTCCCTTTCCTCATGGGGAGAATCCTCTGCTTGCTTTTTACCCCTAAACTCTCAGGAAACTGCAGGTGTGATAATATCTGTAAAGTGGTTAGCACAGAGCTTGTCATATGCTTAGTAAACAGTCACATTAAAATAATCTTGAAGATAAAGAAAATGATGAAATAAATCCTCAACACAAACACCGCTGGGAAGGTAGACTGTGGGAAATCCAGATGTGAATCAGACCTGTTCCAGGACAGATACAGGACAGGGAGTCTCAGCATGGCACGACCCTTCCATCTCTGGCTAGCATCATAATTATGCACATTGGCTCCGGAATCTCCCAGGCCCGGTTTGGATGCTGGACTCACTGATTTACTAGCTACTTACCACCTCTGCGCCTCCGTGACTCATCCGTAAGTTGCGACAAGAACGTCGATGTGTTCTGCGGGATGACTGCGTCAAGTGTCTACCCAGCACCTGGCTGGTATTCAGGGTGTTGCAAGTGAGGAGTGCTGCCAAGAGATGGTTGAGAGTGAGAGCTTTAGAGCCATCCCAAATTATGAGTCCCAGCTCCGTACTTCATCACTGTGTGACATCCTGCAAATACTGTAATCTCGCTAACCCACCATTTCCTTAACTCTAAAACGGAGCGATGACAGTAAAACTCCCCTCTCAGGATTGTCGTGGAGATTAGCTGAGGTTGTATTTATAAAGGAATCGGTCCTTGACACTTACATGGAAGCATTAAATAAGTGGTACATGTTACCCAGAAGGGCACAGAACAAGATGAAACTTGTTCTCTGTATCAGTAACTAAGTTTTATAGACAACCCATGCTAGGACCTGGGAGGAATTATCACTGATGACACGGACTAGAGAACTGCACTGAGAAAAACTGAACTGAGTTTGGCTCCCCGCTGTGCTCCCAGCTTGACGCTTTGGAAGTGAGGTTTCTGGAATGGTGTGAGGCTGTCCCTTGTTACCCCTCAGGAGCTGCCTTGTGAGATAAAGTGCTGCTTCTTGGGCTTCTACCACTTCCTGTAAGCAGGCCAGTGCCACAGAACCCTACAAGAGATGAGACACGGAATAAGGGGAGCCCGTAGCGGCATGGTACACTGTGAAGGGACCGGCCACCACAAGTAGCAGCTGTAGGTCGGGGAGGAGGAAACTGCCTGCTAGCAGTGCGTGTAGGAAGGACGCTTTCCACATCCACATCAGCTGAGCAAATTAGAGGCTTAGGTACTTGAGGAGCAAGCCAAAGCCATGGCAGAGCAGAGGAATCCCGCTGGAAGAGGGAGCTGGTCTCGGGGGTCTGTGTCAGCCCGCTCTCCAGCTGCCGGCCTGAGACTATTACCATGGTAATGGTCTCCCACGATAATGGGGAGATTCAGAGCAGTTCGTTCGTGTCAGCTGAAACAGAGTAAGCCTGGATTCGTTTGTAGGTTACTTGATTTTTACATGTGGGTAAGGAAGACTAACTTGAAAAATAAATAAAACCATGGGAACTATGAAATTCCACATAACAAGAAAAAGAGAATTTAGGAGACTCGGGGGAAGAACATACGTCTGGAAATGAACTACCGCAAAATCTAGGTGAAAATTCTGTTTGACAGCCACAATTGATTATTAGAAAATATGACCCGTCTTAGGCCACTCGGGCTGCCTTAACAGTGGGTGGCTTAAGCAACAGAAATTTGTTTGCTCACAGTTCTGGAGGCTGGTAGCCTGAGATCAGGGTGCCAGTATGGCCGGGTTCTGTTGAGATCACTTTTGGCGAAATACTACCACACTGGGAGATAGGGCATCAGCATCTGAATTTGTGGGGGACACAGTTCAGTCCCTTCACTAACCCTGTGAGAAAAGAGCCTGGAGTTGTTTGGTGAAATGGCAAAGAGAGAGGTTGGAGATGAGAAAGGATCTCAGAGAAGCTGCAGGTACAAGAACAGAACTAAGGCTTCCATTGTAGGTAGTAAAGAGCAGAGTCCATCTACAGAAATGGAGTTGATGATGCAGATGAGCTAGTAAATGGAAAACATGATAAATACGGAGAATGAAGCACCAGTTCGAGATAATTGATGTCATATCAGTGGAATAGAGCAATACTTCAACGATACAACAGAAGAAAATTTTGCTCAGCTGAAGGAAGACCTGTGGATGCAGGGTGAAGAGCTCGTCATATGTCAGGTTGAGTCAATATAAAGAACCCCCTGACTACATAGATTGTAGTGACTTTTCAAAACTATAAGTATAAAGGAAAAAATTATACAGCCACATAGAAATAAAAAAGCAAGTTATATACAAATGAATCCACTATCGACACGCTTCAGTCTTTTCTGTGATACTAAATGCCAAAAGTAATGAAATCGTTTTGAAGGGAAAACGTGGTAATGTAAGAATTTTATTATATCTAGACAAATTGTGACTTATGTGTAAAGACAAAAACCAGGGCGCAAAAACATACTATATCTCCTATGTACCCTTCTTCAAGGAATGATTTGAAGTTACACTCGGAGGAGTAGAGCCCAGTTAAGGGCTCAATTATGAGGAAATGATTCACAGTGCAAGAGCACTTGCGAAGGTAAACTAGAAGTTTAAAATGTTGCAAATCTGATTGTAAAATTGAATGCAGAGAACAAAGATGATTCTAGAATATTAAAAATGAATTTTGAAAACACAAGAAGGAAGGAATAGTGAAGGATACGGTAAAGGTAGGTTAAACCAGCCCCACTCATAGTGTGGTCCCCAGAGCAGCAGCAGCTCCTGGAAGCTTACTAGAAATAGAAATTCCTAGGCCCCACGCAGACCCGTGGAATCAGAACCTCTGGGGTGGGGCCCAGCAATCTGTGTGGTAACAATCTCTCTAGATGATTCTTATACATGAGAAGCACTAAGTTAAATTCCTTTTCTCAGTAGGAGTAGACATGAAAACCTCCTCCTGCTTGGTTATAACATTTAGAGAAAATATGTCTTATATACTGTCTAAAACAGTGGGGAATGTTGGAAAATAATTGAATATTGGAGGATAATGGAAAGGCAAAGAAAAGAATTCATGCATCAGACAACTGAAAATGTAAGGAAACAAACCAGAAGAGTGGAGCCTAAGGAAAAGAAAGAATCATAAAACGTGAAACCAAGTCAATTATGGCAATAAAAGCAGATGGCGTGATCTCCTTTATTAGAAGACAAAGATTCCCAGGTTAATTTAAAATAATCCAATTATTAATGGCTTATTAGAGGCACGCCTAGTTAATTCATTACAGATCTTTTATTCTCTTTCTCAGGAAACCCTTTGCTGCTTCCTTAACTAAATTGTGAATTCCCTGTTATTATTTTTATAGCACTGTGAATGTCTCCTTTAAGAGTGCCCGCCATGCAGTTTTAAGTTTGTATGATTTTTGATTTTTCTGTCTCCTTTTCCAGACTGTAAGTTCCTTGAAGGCAGGAACCGTGACTCTCTGCTCAACATTTTGTGGCGGCATTTAACACAGCACCTGTTTAATGAATGAAAGTCCAGGGAAGCTCAGGGAAATGTCTTTAGGCACATGCAAACAAGTAGAAAGGAGAGTCTGAAAGTAATTACCAAGAATTAATAACATTAATGCCAGGAGAACTAATAAAACTGTGTAATTAAATATTAGAGCAGTGGTTCTTAAATGTTCCCAAGCATCAGAATTTTCTGAGGGGTCTATTAAAACACAGGTTGCTCTGTCCCATCCCTAGAATTTTCCTTTCAGTATGTCTTGGTTGAGTCCTGAGAATCTGTGTGTGTAGCAGCTCCCAGGAGGTGCTGATGCTGCTGGCCCAGGGACCTCACTTTGAGCAGCACTGCGCTAGAAACACAGGCGATGTTAATAATAAAGGGCGCAGTTCACAGGAAAGGTTTGGATCTCCTGAGCTTATGTGCATCAAACAGCACTCTATCTAAATATACAGAATAAATTTAGGAATACAGTGGAATGGGAGGGTTTATTACATTTAGTCTTTCACAGAGCAGGTAAGCAAGTAAGATTATATGGGGATACAGTTAATACAGGTGACATAACAATTTTGAAGCCTACAAATAGCAAATAGATCTTTTCCAGTGTTCACGAATCAGTTACTAAAAGTATATAACAACAGACAAAATTTGAAGTTTCTATATTGAGAGAGAAAAATCATAAACAGAGTAAGAAGCCAGTTTGAGCAAAAATATTTGTCACTAACACATAGAACAAGATGCTGCTTTTCTAATCTACAGAGTGCTTAGTGATTTAAAAAAGGTAAGTAACCTATAGGAACATTGGCGGTAAACGCAGAAGAGTCATGAAAGAAGAACTGCAATTAGACATGAAGAATAGTTTTCTTACAACTCAGAGAGGTGGAAAATAAAACCAGCAGTGTGTTATAGTTTCCCTGTCGGTCACAATTCAAGAAGATAATACTACTTAATGCTCGCTGCCATGTGTGGAAACAGTCATTTGTGCATCTTTCTGATTGAGATAAAAATTGGCCCAACCTTTTGATAGATAGGTATTGGTGCTGTGGTTATCAAAAGCCTTAAAAATGCGTACCCTCGATTTATCCGTGGAAATAATGCGCAGAGATTATGCACAATAATCTTTATTTTGCAGTGATGCGCAAAAATAATGAGCACACGTGCAAAAACTTCTACAAGGATCTTGATCACAGCATTTTTTTGTATATAAGGGAAATTTTTGGAAACAATCTAAATGTCCTCTGGTGTAGGAGACTAGCACAGCAAATTCTAAAGTCCAGTGGGAACCGTGCAGCCAATAAATGCAGTAGAGATCGAAGTTTATTGATTGAGCAAGATGTCCGCAAAGTATTGTCGATCGAATGCACCAGGTTACAAAGAGGATATAGATCGGGGCTGTGAATTCAGGGCCCGAGGAGCCGGACAGATGATGTCAGCGCAGGGCAGTGAGGGCGGGGTCCGGGCCAGCTGCACTGTGCACATGCTACCCCAGGGCTAGTTGCTACTCTTTGTTTGGGGATTACAGATTATTGAAATTTCTCTTATTTTAAAAAAATTTTGTATTTATCAATATTTTATAATTTTCCCCCAGTGAACAATATTACATCAGAAATATTTAAGAAGAAAGAAGTTAGGCAGACCCAAAAGAGAGGTAAAAATAAAGTCTGGTGGGACCTGAGAGGAAGAAGTGACCTCTTCGGCCGGGGGGGCGTGGGGTGCTTGGGGGCAGGGGAAGGTCCTAGAGATGAGGGGACCCAAGCATGGCCATTGCTGAGGGCAAGGCTTGTAAAGGGGCTGGTAGAGAGGTTGGCCCTGGAGGTCAGCTTGGGTCACCACACATTTCCTGAGCACTGGGGCCTGGGGATGGAGCAGTGAAGGAGAACAGCGTGTGCCAGGTACTGTTCTAAGCACTTGACATATAAATTTAATCCTCACAGCAATCCTATAAGGTGGGCCTATTATTACCCCCATTTTACAGATAGGAAAACTGAGGCACAGAGAGGTTAAGAGATTTGCCCAAGGTCACACAGTTCCAAATGGCAGAGCTGGGATTTAAACCCAGGTAGTCCTCGACTCCAGTGGGCTCCCAGCTCTAGTTTGTTGTCCCAGAATGAGGAGGAGTTTGGGGGGGAGGAGCACGCTGCTGCTTCTGGATGGGAGCCAGGTGCCTATTCCCACACTGTATCTCCTTCTTGGACAGAAACCGGCAATTACACCTGCGAATTCTGCGGGAAGCAGTACAAGTACTACACACCCTACCAGGAGCACGTGGCCTTACACGCCCCCATCAGTGAGTACCTTTTGTTGTTGGGGGAGGCGTGGGCCAGGTGGGCGCTGCTCGTCCAAGTCCTTCAGTGGCCTGTCCCTGCCTCCTCTAAGCACCTCCAAGTCATGTTCCTGAATCTCCAGCCCCAAAGCCAGCACCATGCGATGCAGCCCCAGCACTGGTTTAGGCCTGAACCTGTGTGGAGCCTGAACCAGGCGAGGGATGGCCAGCTAGACAGGACAGTCCCTCTTGGTCCTGGTGGTGGAAAGGGTAAGAAGCTAGGAGTGCTAGGCCAGTACTCAGAGCCCTGGGTGTTAACCCCAGTGGGCTCACCCGCTTGCATGTGACCTTGGGCAGGTCCCCACCTGTCTCTGGCCCCCAATCTTTCCCCCCTCTCCTGACCCAGAAGGGAAAAGGTTCTAAGGGCCCTTCCCACGGGGACATAGCAGCCTTCCATTCTGATGCTGCTGATTTCCCAAGTCCACTTCTGGATGTTGGGGGACGCTCCATCATCTTTCAATCCCAAGTGTATGGGCTAGGAGGCCCTCATTCCTCAACCAAAACCCTGGCATGGCTGGGGCTTAACCATCTTCACAGGGCGGGGGTTTTAGGAGTGGATGTAGGAGTACCCCTGCTTCTGTTTCTCGGCAGAGCTGTGCGGACCCCATTCTGCAATCTCTGGATGGGGAGACTTAGGTCCAGAGATGGGGAGGGGTTGTGCAAGGTCAGCAGGGGGATAAGCTGCCTATAGTCTGGGAGGTCTATGACCCTTTTGAAGATCTGAAAATAGCACAGGCAGGTGGCCCCCCAAGGGCATTCAGGTGGGCAGGAAATGTCCAGAGCTTAGAGGACAGTGTAGGCAGCTTCCCCAGGAAGTCCTTCCTGCTGGGCAGGGGAGCAGAGGCTGGGAGTCTCCCATGGGTGAGAACTCCCATCCTGAGGTCTATAAGTGGGCTAGGATTCTTGTCCTGCTCAACCTCTGGCCTTGTGCCTGTCACTTCCCTTCTCAGGGGTCTGGATTCTAGGCATCTCCAAACCCTCAAGCAGGTATCCCTGGTGGCCCAACTAGAGGAACCCATCCTGCCACTGAGGCTAGGGATGTATGGGTCATCCATTTCTCACCACATGTTCAGGCCCTAGGACCTGGGGGAGAGGACACAGTTTCCGTTTGGTGGGCACCATTTGACCCATTAATGGTGCTTGTGCTGAGTCATCAGGTCTGTGGTTGGGCTTGAGCTCTATGGCCTGGACCCTCTGAGGGTCCCTCTTTCCATGGACCAGGACTGGCAGCTGTGTGTGGGCATCTGTCCTGCTGCTGCCTGAGGCCTGGAGAGGATGCTACCCAGAATGCACTTAGGTGTTAGTTGCAGGGCCAGCCTGCAGCCATGGTTTCAGCCTTTAGTGCTGCTCTGCTCTTCTCCCAAATTTCTGGAACAAGTTGAATGCAGTCATGGAGTTAATCAGAGGTGGAACTTGGCTTTGAACCTTGAAAGGTGAGCTCCAGACCCATACTCTTCATTAACCATGAGGCTATCCTGCATCACCTGTCAGATGGCACAGCATGAAGGGGAACATTGCTTGCACCCAGATTTCTTCCTTAACGTCTAGGTGCTTCCCTCCTGAAGAGCTGTCTGCTGTTTCTCTGTTCCGCATTTTATTTTTCTCTCTGTTATGGACTCTCTTTGTCTTTCTGCATGTGTTTGTTGAATAAATCTTTCTTCTGTATTACTCAGTGAAGTCTGAGGACTCTAGAATCAGCTGTGTTTAAAATACAGCATGAGAGATTTAGGCTAGATCCAGTAGAGGACTGAATCTCCAAGACTGACCAGTTGCCCCTCCAGTGGCCATTGGATTGCCTTTGGGTCTAGAGATTTGTAAACCCGTGATTCTGTGTGGAATTAGGGGCTGGACTTGACAGCTTCAAGTGGTACCCAGGGCCAGGCCTCGAGAGACCCTAGGTCTGTAGAGAATATCCAAAGTTGTTCTTTCATTTTGACTACTGAGCGATATTTCATTGTGTGAAAATATACTAGTTTATTTAGCCATTTGCTTGTTAATTTGAGTTGTTTCCAGTTTTAGGCTGTTATGAATAAAGCTGCTATGAAAATGCTTGCCCAAGGCTTTTTGTGGACATATGTGTTCATCTCTCTTGGATAAGTACCAAGGAGTAGAATTGCTAGGTCATAAGGGAGAGTATGTTTAACTTTTAGAACTTACGAACCATTTTCCAAAATGACTATAGCATCTTACCCTCCCATCAGTCATGGGTTCCACATTCTTGCCAACAGTTGGTGGCAATGGACTATTTAATTCCAGTTATTCTGGGGAGTGTGTAGTGGTATCTGATGTTAATTTGTATTTTCCTGATGACTAATGATGTTGAACATTTTTATTTGTTTATTGGCCATTTGTATATTTACTTTGGAAACGAAGTCTTTTGCCCATGTTTTTGTTGGGTTGTTTATGTCTTCAGCATGCCTGTTGATTTTCATACAATATCTCTTTTGATGAGCAGTTGCTTTTCATTTTGATGATGTCTAATTTATTATTATTTTTTTATGGTTGGTGCTTTCTGGGTCCTACCCAGGATATTCTTGCCTACCTCAAGATGGTGAAGATATTCTCCTTTATTATCTTTTAGAAGCTTTATAATTTTAGCTTTTGTATTTAGGTCTGTGATCCATTTCAAGTTACGAGTTGATGAGAGTAATATGAGTTGAGATCCGTTTTATTCCATATGGTATCCAGTTGTTCCAACACCATTTGTTGAAGATTGTCTTTTCCACCTTACATTGCATTGGGACCTTTCTTGAAAATCAATTGAATGGTTGTGTGAGTTTATTTCTGTTCCATTGATTTATTTGTCTATGATCTTATTTATTGGAGTTTTATAGTAAGTCTTATATCAGGTACTCTCAGTTTTTCAGCATTGTCCTGTTTAAAGAATACTTGTCTATTCCAGGAACTTTATTTTTCCTTATAAATGTTATTATTCTTGTCATTTCCTATAAAATATCTAACTGGGATTTTTTTTATGATTGCACTGAATAGGTAGACCAATTTGGGGGGGATATAATAATATTGGGTCTTCAAATCCATGAACATGGTATATCTCTTTTAAGTATGTCTTTTAGTTTCTATCAGCAGTAGTTTGTACTTCTCAGCATAGAAGTCGTATACATATTTCATTATATTACCACTCAGTATTTTATGTTCTTTGACATTACTGTTATTTTTTTATTTCCCAATTATTGTTGGGGGTACATGTAAACACAGTTGGCTTTTGAATATTGCATTTGTAACCTGCAACTGATCTTTTCTTCTACAGTATCTTAATTTTTTTCATTAGAACAATCCATCAAGTGAATTTTTTATTTCAGCTGTCATATTTTTCATCTCTGTAATTTCCACTTGGTTCTTTTTTTACGTCATTTTTTTTTCTTCATTATATTCATGTTATCCTTTAAATCTTTGAGCATATTTATAATAGCTGCTTTAAGGTCCTTATCTGCAAATTTCATTATCCCCTTCATCTCTGTATGTTTTTATTGACTGTTTTTTTCCTCTTGAGTATTACTCATGTTTTTCTGCTTCACTAATGAATCCTTTTTTTATCCTGTACTGCACATTGTGGATGCAGTATTGTTGAATGTCTGGATTTTGTTAGCTTCCTTTGAAAAATGTTGAATTATGTTCTGGCAGGCAGTTAATACAGATTAGCTTGATACGTCAAAGGCTTGTTTTTAAGCTGTGTAGGGGCAGGTCTAGAGTACAGTCGCCCCTCTCTCCATGGTTTTACTTACCCATGGTCAGCTGTGGTATGAAAATATTAAATGGAAGATTCCAGAAATACACAATTTGTGTGTTGTAAATTGCCCACTGTTACGAGTAGCATGATGAAATCTCACACCATTCTGCTCCAGCCCTCCCAGAACGTAAACCATTCTTTTGTCTAGCGTATTCATGCTATTATATTACTACCCACCCCTTAGTAGCCGTCTCAGTTATCAGATTGATTATTGCAGTATCACAATGCTTTTGTTCCAAATAAGCCATATTTTAATAATGGTCCTAAAGCCAGTATATTCTTATAGTTGTTCTATTTTATTGTTAGTTCTTGTTGTTAATCTCTAAGTATGCCTAATTTAAAAATTAAAATTTATCACAAATATGTACGCATAGCAAAAAACATAGTATGTCTAAGATTCAATACTATTCACCATTTCAGGCATCCACTGGGGGTCTTGGGATGCATCCCCTGTGGATAGGAAGGGGCTACTGTAGTTTTTATACTGGCATTAGAGTAATCCTTCTAAGGCCTGGCTCTTCTGGGTCTTACCTGAGTGCCCAAGGTATTAGCAAGGTCTCCTCTCTGGCAGGTAGGAACTCAAACATCCTCAACCTTCTGTAATCTCTGAATCCTCCTTTAGCTCACAGTCCCCCAATAGCTTTTGGCTGCCAGGCTTTGCAGAAGCTCCCTCTGTACACATCCGTTTGGCATTCAGCCAAAGACTTCAGGGGGTCTCTCTGCACATTTCTGGAGTTGTTTGTTTTTTGTGGGGTTTTTTTGCCTGAATCTCTCTTCTTTGTTGTTTTGCCCTGCAAATTCCAGCATCTTAGGAGCCCTGAACCCTGATCACCGTCTCCTCAGTTCAGGGTGACTGCAGTGCTTCCTGTGCCATGGTCCAGAAGGTCTCTCCAGGCAGAGAGCAAGAGTGACCACAGTCCTGCACCTCCTTCTGTTCAGAGTCTGAAAACTGTTGTTTCATGTATTTCGTCCAGCTTTACAGTTGAATTTGTAGGACTAGTCCTACACCCGTTGCTCCTTACACTGAAGTGTAAGGTCTCAGTTCTCTTCCTAAGACTAAAATCCATGAGGAGGGTTTCCCAAATCAGACCCTCTTGCCTCCCGTCTCCCATGCATTTCCACCTGCAGTCTTTAAGCCCGCTATTCCCATTTACCACAAATTCATTTCCATTCCCCTCTACCTAGTAAAGGTTTCAGGGAGACCCCCACCCCGATCTCTTCTCCCTCTCAGTTGCATGGTTACTTTTTTCGAATCCTTACATTCTCTGAATTTTTTGCTCCAGTTAAACTTTCAACTTTACAGAAAGGAGACACCACCGTGTTCTCTTATTTTTAAATATCTCTTATGTGTAAATATCACATGTTTCTTACAAGAGCTATCAGCCAGTCTGTTTAAAACTCGTTTTCCTTCCTCGGGGAAAGCCCAGATAGGAATTCCAGCCTGACAGCGTTCCACGTGAGAAGGTCAACAGATGGTGCAAACTATTGAGTGAAATGATTTAGGAGCCTGGGAAATTCCTCCTGGCTCAATCCCAAACTGCTCTGTGACCTGGAGAGGTGCCTGTACCTCTCTGAGCCTCTGCATCCCCATCTGCCTTATACCCTCGGGGCCACCGGGAGGGTAGTATGTGAGATAGGCTTCCCTCGAGGAAAAGCTGGGGAAGGTTTTAGATTTCTGGACTTTCTCGGGCTCCAGGTAGAAGTGAGAGTCTTTGCTTTCTATGGACTGAAAAGAGGTTTCAACCCTCGAGCATGGGGGTCTGTGGCTCGAGAGGCCACTTACTCAGCTGACTCCAAGGGCTCTTGGGGACTGAGAGCGTGACCCTCTCAGGTACCGCCCCCGGGTGGGAGCCAGCGGACGATCCAGACACGGGCTCTGAGTGTTCACATCCGGAGGTCTCCCCATCTCCACGCTTCGTGGCCGCGAAGACCCAGACGAACCAGTCGGGGAAAAAAGCCTCGGCCTCCGTGGTCCGATGCGCCACCCTCTTACACCGCACTCCTCCAGCCACCCAAACCCAGACGTTCCGCACTCCAAATTCAGGATCGCCGGCAAACAAGGCAACCGCAGGTACCAATGGCCTCTGTCACCCCACACTTCCTCCACTCCCCCCCTCACCCGCCTGCCACAGCTGTGCCCGGGGTCATTGTTCCCTTGCTAGAGCAAGAGTGGAGGGTCCCATAGTTCTTTGGGACGAATCTGGGTCCTAGCTCTGCCTCTGACTGGCTCTGTGACCATGGCTAGCCACCGAACTAACCTCTCTGAGTACGTTTTCTTATCCTGAATCAGAGGGTTGTACAAGATAATTTGCAAACTTTTGTTTAAATAGGAGAATTTTTTTTTTTTCTAAGTCATGGCCTAAGGTGTTTTTAAAAAATGTTTTTAATTAGTTGCCAACATTCGAATATTAGGAGATTTTATGTAAAACTTGATTTCTAGCTGATATTGACAAGTCAGCTCTGGCAGTTCTGGGTCCACTTCCCTGCAGGGCAACAATTGGCTTGGGGCTGAGCCACAGCTGCCTCCTTTCATAGAGCATGTGCTCTCCAGTTTTCCACAGTCCCCACCACTCCCTCCTGCCTACCCAACACAGTAGCCACGTGGCAGGTGTCATTTTTCATTGTGATCACACTGTTGTCTGTCTTATGTCCAACCCAGTTCATCCATTTATGTCACCTGCCTGGATCCCCCTCCCCTTGGCATGAGTTCGCATCCCCCATCTTTCAGAAAACCCAATCTGAAAACTCATTTCTACGAAGAGCTGTTCTTGAAGCAGAGTGGTTGACCTAGAGTTGTTCTCTTGGCCTCCCTCTAACTAGTATTACCCGTGAAATTGCTCTATGAGCCATAGCCCGGCAGGAAACCGATGGATGCCAGCTCCAGTGTTTTCTGAGTCCATGCAAAGAGGGCTCAGACCCCAGAAGGGTGAACAGGCACTAATAGGTTCACAGCAGCACTTCTCCCAGGAAAACTGATAAGACACATTGTACTAGTGACCAGGAATCCTGATTGATGCCCTGGTGGAACGAACCTTGGGCCACCTTCCTGATGTGTGGAATGTAGGGTAGAGTGATGTGGTCCTTCTGGGACCATGGGCCCTTTCATTTGCTTTCAAGAGGCCCACAGCCATCCATTAAATATACAAGTGATCAAACTGAGTTCAGTGACCCAGTAGGTTGGACTGGTGGTAGAGCCAATGACTAGTTGTGCTCTTTGGTTCAAGGGGCTACTGTGCTGCAAGGATGTGGCTCTTGAAAATGTTTGAAGAGATGCTTATTATATTCAGATATCCCAAAAGGAGAGTAAGTACTTGAACAACCTTGAATGTCGTAGATTTTCAGGTACTGTGTTGAGAAAACAATAGCTGTTGTATTTTTCTAGAAACAGACTGGTCATCATGAGCTCATGGGTGGTAGGTGTTGGCTCAGTAAATGATGGGATAGGGGCTTTCAAATGTTGCTTTTTATTCTTGACTTTGTCGCTGGGAGTTTTTATGTATGTAGTTTCTGCAGGGAACTGCCTGGAAGGGGCTGTGTGGTCTTTGGCAGCTCTTGGACCTCAGTGTCCCCCAAGGAAGCATCCAGGAAGCTATGGGACCTGCTTCTGGCTGCCTTTATGTGACCTGGAAGACTTGGGGTGTGGGGGAAGGTCATGCCTGGGCTTACCAGGTGGGCAGAGCAGAGGACGCCAGGTGGTGAGCAGGAACCCGCATGGTAGAGCTGGAAGTTGTTCCCGCCTTCATCGGGGAGGAATGGGCAGCTCTCCCGGGTGCATGCGCCGGCCCGTGTGCGGGACCTCACCTACGGAACAGCCCACTGGTCTGTGGCCAGAGGTGCCTGTGGCAGGGAGAGCCCATCAGCTTTGCATTATGGACTGAGTAATAAGAAAATAATCATCACCCTAGTTGTCCTAAGTTCTACCAATAAGTTGGTCAGGCTGCACAGAAATCCTCCGCAGAGGGGCCGGCCTCCTCCCGCGCACACAAGGATGACAGTGGAGAAAGGAGTCACTTGTGAAAAAGAAAACGTCTGCCTGGAGCACGAAGTCGCCTCGTTCTGCTATCTTAGAAGATGAGCAGCATGTTCAGCCCCAGAAACTTACAATCTCTCTTTCCTCTGTTTGTTTGTTTGTTTCCCACCTGTAAAATGGAAGTGACAGTGTGGACCTTATAGGGCCGTTGGGAAGATGAAGGGAGACCATGGGTGTAAGGTGTCTGAACCAGTGCCTGGCACATAGCAGGTGCTCAGTAAATGACTGCACCCCCCTTTCCCCTAGGCAAAGAATTGAGGGGCTTTCTTTGCCAATTTAAAGATGACATCTTGAAGGAGGCACATATGTAGCTTGCAGCCCAGGCCTTCTGTAGATAAGCTTTGAGGAGAGGGTTGCCCTTGTGGTGGTGTGGACAGCCTCTCAGAAAGGAGGCTGCGTCAGAAGACACTGTTGGGATCGGGGGACGGGGCATTGAGCAGGACCATGGGAGCCGCCTCTGGCTTCCTTTCCCATCACCCCCACAGCCTGAGCACTAGTCCTGCTGGCATGAGGTAGATTGGGTGACAGTGGCATTTCCCAAAGTGGGTTCCTGAAATCACCGCTTTTTGAGGGATAGTAAGGAATGTGATCATTAAAAAATAGGCTTTGGAGGGCAAATCCATTTGGGAAGGCTGGGTTAGATAAAGCAAAATGGGTCTCTTTTAGTGGAACTTCTGAGAGCCTTTGATATCCTGTGCAAGTTGTTTCTCCTTAAGAAAGGGGCCGGGCCGACTGCTCATCCCACAATGACTTGTTCCCAGAGTCTTTGTCTCCTGGAGCATCCAGCACCCATTGTGCCAAGAGCTGCTTGGAAAAGCTGTTACCTGGCGGCTTGGATACCGTCTCAGTACCTTCTGCAGGTGGGGGTGGGGGTGGGCACTAAATTAGTGGTTTTCCAGCGGTTAGTGCTCTCTCTGCCCTCCAGGGTTTCCAGACAGTGCCTGGGAGAGAGAGAGCCTCTAGGAAGTGCCACCTGTAAGCAGAGACACCCAAGAAATCACTGCAGAGCTAGTCCCTTCCTCCGGGTGAACTCTGACCAGACCTCACCTGGTCTTTGGCCTCCTGGGGTGTGGGGCTTCCCCGGCTCTGCCTGGCACACCTTCTCTCTAGGACGCCTCCTTGCCACCCAGGGATCACTCGGCTTGTGGAGCTGGGATTAGCTGTCTGGCCCACCTGCTCTGCTAGAACTGCCTCCAGAAGACAGTCTGCCATCCTCCCCACTCCATTGTGGGCCTGAGACAGCAGAACCTGGGCTAGTGGGGAGCAGGTCCAAATTAGTGTCACAGATGTGGCTCCTCAGGGGCCAAATACGGGCGACCCATTTGCTGTCTGCTCATTTAACTGGATTTCATCTGTGTTCTCCTGGATGGGTCACCCACACATCCCCCCATGCCTGGACCTCCACTCCTCTGGGCACTGTCAGGAGGGTCTCCTGGGGCCCTGACAAGGTATCAGGCAACTCAGGTGAGCTTGAGGAGCTGGGGGTTCTGATTTGGGATCCTGGAGCTCCTTTCTCACTGTGCTGATTCCCCCAACATAAGGCCCTGAGCCTTCCTCAGCCCAGGGACTGGGGCGGTTCCCAGGTACCACTGCCTCTGAGCTGCCCCTGGCATGCCCCCCTTTGGACCTAGTGCTGATCAATCACCATTATTTTCTCTTGCTCTCTCTGTCCCCACCCAGCAGAAAGCGCTTTCAGTCGGAGAGTAGAAAGCAAAGCACAAAACCACTTTGAAGAGACGAATAGCAGTTCCCAAAACTCCAGCGGTGAGTGCGCCCTATGACAAGTGCCCTGTGCTGAGGTTGCCAGCTCTGTCTGCCTCCTCCCCCCCCCCCCC